GAAGTTATGAGAGTTTAAATTTTGCACTTTGATTATATTTGTTTCTGTTAAAAAAATAATTTTACAAGTTTTTTTGTCAAAATTTCAAATCAACTCGATTACAAATTTTGAAAAATCATTTTTTTTTAAATTACAACGTTTTTAGTTAGATAATGATTAATAGATAAACTAGAATTATATTCATGCCGTCTCTTCATAGAACAACTGACAAATGTTTCTGAAAAACTCCAGTTTATGACTATTAATGAAACAGTGATTAATTTGACAACTATTGCCATGGATTTCCAAAAATTAAATAATTAAATGTGTATTTTTTTTACAAAATGCGAATTTTGTATATTTGGGTGCGTACACAAAACACCCTGTACAAGCAAGGTTCCTTTATAAAGGAAACCTGCTGATACACGAGTATATTATACTATTARAGTATATTATATACTACAAGGTTAGTCACGAGAGGGTTATTTCTAAATTTGTTTTTGCCGCAACCCATTATACATATTGCAACAACTTCTTGATTTCAAATTTTGAAAATAATTATAACTAAATCCACGATAYCTGTTATTAGTCTTGTCTCTGTGACATTAWAGTAAAAAAAWTATCTRTCAAACGATGCGACATGTTTTGTTATGTTTACCAACCGACTAGGCGCATGTTTAGAAGTCGATGGTAGACACTTCAAACACCTTTTATATTAACTTAACTTGTTAATTTATAWGTTGAATTTTGATTAAATATAGGTTATCTGTCAATCTGARATTTCTGGCAAAWTTATSCAACTTACTTTGATTTGTAATTTTAAAGAAATAACATATTTAATTTAGTAGTTTGTGAGATTGGTATTGTTGGTTGCGGCAAAAAAAAATCAGAAATAACTCTCCCGTGAATAACCCTATATGTATATTATACGAGTATATGTATTATGTTTATGTGTTATGCAACCAGTAAAACGCATTATTAATTGCCTATATCAGTAATAATTTTATTACTTATTTTTTTGTGTTAGCTATTGCAAATTATACCAAATTAATATTATAGAGATTCTTTTTGATTCTCCGTAACCTTAATTTGGTTTTAATGCTGAATATAAAACATATGTATGAAAAAAAAATTAGTCAAAAATCACACTTTGTGACAATAATGAAGTTTTTTTTATTACTGCCAATTTTTAAAAATTGTCAAAAATAACTTTTCATCAAAAAATGAATCCCTCCACCGCTCCGAATGAATCACTCCAGTGTCCCCTCGGCCCCCTTCTCAAGAAATCGATCGCTCCGAAGGCACGTTTCGAGGCCAAACCGGAAAAGAAAGTCAGTGATTGAAGAAATGTCAAAGCAGCACATGTCACGATTCAAATCGATCTCGAAAAGCGGACGCATGCGTGCCTAAAATGCGCTTTTACTTAACGGGGGCCCAACGCCAGTGCAGAAAAGCGTCGACCGTGCGCGAAAAAATGTGATCGGCGCGAAAATGACTTGGTGGTTGATTTTATTAAGTTTTTTGGGGCCCTCGGGGGCGCTCAACTTGCCGGCGATCGGACCGTTTCGCAACTTCGCCCAACAAGGGGAGAATTCCTTTCACATCAAAAGCTACACAGGGAGGAGGGTCAAAAATGACTCGATTCGAATGGTCTATTTT